TGTCAGCTACATGTAAAATGTACAGCACTGCTAAGTTTATTATCAAAAATTATTTCATTACTTGTGATAAACAAACTGGACTCATACAACGGTGCTGATATGTATACGCATCAGTCAGAGTTATCATTTATTGTGTTTGTTCGTAGCGACGCAGCAATACACACCGACAGGAGAAGCGTCGGTGTATATAGTTCATACTGATGATGAACGTGGATTCAATCTAATCAAGTCCGTTGTTCTTTTGTTTGTTCTTTTTGTAATGCTATAGTCTAACAACATTGTGTCAGTCGATGAGACAGGACAATACGTAAAATGGCATAGACTATACACCAATGTGTACGTTCTTCAAATTAAAGGCAAACAGAATAAGAGTGCTGCACCAATTTTCTCCGTGGCTTGTAGAGCTGTGCTCCGTAAAATATTACTGTTGATGTGTGATAAGCTTCATATCGACCTAGCGGCGCGCAGGATAAATTGTCCGTCGTTGTGACTTGTCACATCTGAGAGTCAATGTCTTGTATATACTGTAAAACTCTTTTTTTTTATAATCGACACCTCAAATTACTCGAAATATATACCTTGGGAATTCGGTGTCTCTCATGAGAAATGTCTATTAACTATGAACAGTGTTGCATTTTATTGCAGGTTTTTTTCGTTAACAATAGCCGGTAAAGTTTGATAGTGGTTTTTTTGGTGAACATAATAATAACATGGTGAAATAATTGTAGCAGACTCATTTTCTAGGTATAACAAAGAAACCGGTCTTAGGGTTCTTTCCTTTTATTCCGATCCGTATGACAAATAATGACCAAGCATGAATAGTCCGGTTGGCATTGACACTCTTTGTTCTGTATTGGGATTTCTATAGCATATAATTATAGATCAGCTCTCCTCTTTCTTTCCCCTAACTTTTTGGCGGCAACTACCCTGACTATATGTCTAGCTGTGACCCCCCAAGACCAATGAGATTACTGAATATAGACACACCTACAAACTGACCAACAGAAGTATCTGTATAAATAGACAAACAGGTTTTAACCACGTGCACATGACCAACAAACTGGACAGAACCGGCACAGCACATTACAATACGTTCACATTTACATGAGCTGATACTCACCTGGTCTGGGTCCTGCCTCAGGGCATGTTTTAGGTAAAGTGTATACTGTAGGTCTCCTATACTTACCAAGGTATATATATACGCACAAATCTATAGATATATATAAAACAACACAACATCAATGTCTCATATCTTTTTAATAAAATCAGAATGAAACCACTTTACTACATAATAATCAGGTGAATACAGGAGCACCAGCTCATGACCCATACGCAGGTTCAAATTGGGTCTGTCCAAGCCCGGGACGTATCAGAGTCCTTAAAAATGTTAGTTGTTATTCCCTGCTTAACATTCAGCATTTAGGGTAATGGCAACAACTTGTAAACCCGTTGCCAGCATTATGTGCCCCGGCGGAATGCTGCGCTGGGTGCCTTCGGCATGATATTTCAGCGATATAGCACTTTAAAGTCGGCATCAGATCCGCGATATCACAATGTTGCAGGTACACTAACACACTCTGTCTCCGCCACACATACACGCTTACACAACACACATGGAGGCACGTCCTTAAATTACCTTAGCTGTTAATACATATAGGACGTTAAACAAAACAAAATAAAAAGGATCCAGTTAAACTTTGACTTCTGTGACCTATTAAGACAATTTAGTATAACAATTTCATTATTGTTATAAAATACATACAATAAAAGCTGGTTTCAAATATCACCTTGAACTTTACATGATTACGAGTAAAGGCCAAGGATATTCTCTTCTCTTTTGTTGTTGGTCGTCTTATTATCATATGGCGTTATAAATAAGCTTAGGCCTGGAGAATATGTGTCCATTTTCCTATTAGTTTACCTGGTTGGTTAGGGACACATCAACCCTGATCAGCAGTTTATTTATACGACATATTATTACCTTGGTCGGGAGTATTTATCGTTACCTTTTCCTTCCGTATGACTGTTACAATGTACTAGTATGGTAATCAGAATTAACTGACAAATGCCCACATCAATTTCCCATACTTTAACTATTCCCGGATACTGCTTGTTTGCAAATAATAACTGTCCAACTCCCACTGCATGCTGTCATTCCGTCCATATCACCTTGGATATATCGCGTTCCTTTAGACCCTATGTACAAAAACATGATTTAAACTTATTGTTTAGTTACGTTCAATAATCGGGATTAATCTGCGCAATTAATGCGGGATAAATCTAAAAATACCTCACAGAAGTAAACATCCACGCCAATAAATTTGTCTTTTACTTATTTGGCGTTAAGAGAGATTGTTTCCCGATCGATCGGGCGAAAAGGTTATTTTTGGTTCTTGTCGATTGGATGTCTAGCGCTGTCTGAAAAATACATAAAACTTGTATTATTTACTTGATTTGTGCTCAGGACAGAATTGGTTTTGTCTGACGTGTTATGTTTTTGGTATTGAAATGTTAAAGGTCAGAGTGCACCGATATATAGACAAAGGTGCCGATGGTACATGTGTAACAGTGTTATTGCAATTGTATGTGACGGGAGTACACCTAAAACGAAATTATTAAAATTGTCAACATGCGCTTTTTTATTGGGAACACTTCTACATATATAGAAGGGTAAACTGTCTACCCAATCTTGCCTTTTTTAGTTTTGATACTCGTTATTTTCTTATTCACAGTCTTCAAATCATATACTGTGCGTATATTCGCTCTCTACCATCCGTCACTTATCTTTTATATATAATCTATCGTGATATCTCACAAACAGTGAACATCTCAGCAGATACTTGTATACCTGTACAGTAATAACTAATCTCAGTGAACTGTTTTTGCATTACTGACATATCTCTTTTCTCTTTACAGATATAATCAGGACAGTGAGCAAGACGCCCACCACTAATTACGCGTTATATGCTGGATACAACAGATAGAGTAATTGCATTCACACACCGGCCGAAATTTAACCTTTACACTTCTGGCCACCAATTACTCAAGCATACTTCTCTTCTCATTAAACACGGGATGCTAAGCGATATTCAAGCTACGCTCAATACAGTATGATCTAAGACAGATGTTGACCACGGACAGTCCGGAATGTGGTTCTTTTGAAGTTAGAGCTATCGATCAAACAAACAAATATCACTAGTCAAGAAAAAAATAAACATATTCGTTAAATACTACTTACATCAAGAAACGTCGATCCTATTTAAGTTTTTCACACTGCGTAGGCAAAGTGGTGACCGTGTATTAACATTAATCATAGAACAGCCAAATTAAGAGAAATGATGCAGACTTTGGATTGAAAGCTGGATTTGGTCATACAGGTGTTGGTAGAAAAGATGTGTGATTTGTGTCAGACAGTGCTGTCCTGGGAGTATGTCCTATAGGTTAAGACGAATTACGAAGGCCTGGCGGTTTCCCGTGCAGACTAATGAATCCTCTGTCTCCAAAAATGGGATATACATCGATCTCAAATAAAATCTTCGAATTTAAGCCCTCGTGTGTGACATGGCTTTATTCATATCTACATAACTGCTTTGTACTAAAGAACCTGCATTCGAATTGCGACATCGATTATTTCATAAATCGAGAATAAAACAAAACACAATTTGAATATTTATCAAAACTTAGCTATACGCAAGTATTTTATTGCATATTTATGATATGCATTGGTAGAAGCGTATGGATTTTCAGTATTTTCTGCTAATCAAGGATTCCACTGAAAAACGTTGCAACTATCGTAATTGCCTGATCCTGTCATTGACAGATATCTCGTTATTATTGAAATCGATCCCGTTCATACAGGTCACACCGCTACTCTGTCAGCATCAGAGAGCAAGTCTGTTTAACAACAAAAGGGACTTATCTGTCCGGTGTATGCCTGTTAAATACTCATCGGGACATCTTTAATATGCGAGACAAGGACATTCCTAAACGACATAACGGCCACGTGGAAACACTCTACATTCTCAGTGCTGAATCGGATTGATCATTCCAACCAAACACATCAAGGAACACACAGTAATTAATGGACTCATTCTGACAAAGATTCATTGTTGTATTTTTGACTGCCATTTTTGTTCAAGGTATTTAGGGAATCGGAGTATTTTCTACACTATTTTAACCGTTTTCTGTAATTGGGATGGATATTTGCACTTAATCATTTATTCAAATGAGGATATGATTTGTGTAAACTTAACCCTGTGTTGACAGATCAATGTATAACTTCATATTATACAGTTCCATTATTCTTGTTTAAGGAGCAGGCATCAAACCTCACTGATGTCGGATTTTTACACGTCAATGTTATATTGTTCCTGTTAAAAGGGTTATTAATTCACGTGCAGCACAATACGTGCGGGTTAAGCTGTGCGCGCACAAGCCATTGATTAGTGACGTTTGACTCCGACTGCGATAGGTCCTCTTAATTTGATACCACAACAAAGGTGAAACTTATCCGAAATACTAACTTGGGAACTTGATACACTGCGCATGTCAAAAGAAGAAATCCATAGTTAAAGTTTAAGAACAACTGAAACTAGTTGTGTAGAAGATTAAGGACGGAATTGTAATTGTGAATAGTAAGAATAACCTCATGGACATTACTTGTTCAGCTTTTGACCACCCGGAATATAACCAGCTTTGAAGGATGCATATATTGATTCGAAATATGATGTGATTGTTGAAATATTGGACAATGTATTAAGTAATGGGTGACAATGTTCAAAATTCTTTTTAAGCGCCTGCAAATTAATTTTAAACAACTGCATGGACAGAAAAACGGCCGCTATCGCTCTTGGATAATATAATTTTTCTAACTTATTTGAAAAAACGGCATTTTTATCGATATTACATATGTGACATTTTTGAGAGGTTACAGCTGTTTCGTGTTCACCCGTGACTTTTTCACCGACAACACGCTTATTACAAATATGGAGACATTCACTTCTGGCTACAACTCGACCTTTGGAGACTACGACGTCCTTGACCCATTGTCCACTATGGTAAGTAGCACATCTATTATATTTTTAATAGAACATATTCGTTTGATATAAATTACAGTCTACATGCTTCACATCTCTTTGTTCTACGTTCACCTTTCCATAATTCGTAAATACAGCGTTCAGAACAAACTGATTATTTAGAAGCCATAAAAGAAAACGAAATTTGTTAACGCTCCTCATGCTAATCTGTGACAACAAATGTATAAAACAGGGATTTCCATAATTATACAGTTGTGTTGAAAAGCCTAGAGGGTTTTGTTTTAGTTTTTGCATCACCACTTGGCTAAGGATATTGTTGCTTTCATGTTGCATTCAAGGTAATTTGGTATCTTATCCTGAACTTCATTAAGCAATATTAATGGCACCAGGAAACGTGTTTGCTGTAATTGAATGCTTATCTCATAGACAACTTGTCCATGTGTCAAACATTGGTATTGATGATGCTGCTTTTTTATCGCGGCTACATAAGGTGCTATTTTGACCAGGGGCTCATAGCATATCATTATGAAGTTGTGACAAACCGTGATAGAAAAATGACCGCAAGTCGTTTCTTTATTTGCATGCGAATGGGGCAGGTCAGACTTTACCCTACTCTCTATTCCATATTTCTACCAATAACAAAGACAGAGGACCACTTCTTTTTGTACTACCTGTATAATTACTACTTGAATTAATTGAGCTTCTTAGAAGTCATGTGTTAAGGAAACTCATTGTATTTCCCAAGTGCTTTATACTTGTACATAATAAAGGTTTTCTCTCCGTACCATATGCCCGAGAAGAATTATTGACAAACATAAAGATGTCACCGGAGAAAGGAAAACATAAACAGACGCAGAAGATATTTTTCTTTAACGCTCAAAACAGACTGGAAAAATAGATTTCGTGATAGGCCTAATGTTCTCAGTAAATACAGTTCTGTTTGCAAATTTAAAGTAAAGAAAATAAATAAGCAATACATTTTTGTCACTTCCTCTGATCGGTATGTAGATAGCGGTAGCCCCGATTTGCATTTTCCAGATTACTATGATTGGTTCATGCCTATGATTCTCATACAGAAAGTGGGAAACAAAAGTGTTTTTGTTTTCGATCAATTTCTATAGTCCACTACTGTAAATGAAGGAAATACTTGTTTGGCATAACACTATAGCGGTAATCTGACATTAAGGACACATCATATGATTTTGTATTTAGCTGCGCCCTGAAACAAAATCTCTCCTAATTCCTATGTTGAATGAGACGGCGTGAAACAGAAACTTGCGTCGAATGTATAGTACTGTCAGTGACGTGGTCTATTGCTTTCAATATCGAGAGGTCTTAGAGATTTCACCATATCGACGTATTTTCAACAGTCATTGCTATTCAGATTACACACTCCACGACGTCAAACTAACACCGCGTGGTTTGATAGTCCCATAGAAACAGGTATCATCCCGTCATGACATTATATGTGTGTATGATTAACTTTTGACAGCTTAAGTAACTCAATCAGTGCCCGGAGGTTAGATCTCTGCAGGGAGGATTAAGATTTTGACAATCACGACTAGCATTGCTATAGGTCAACAGAGCGTGCCTGCTGACTGGAATATTATCAACGGGCCATAATAAGAAGCTCATTGATAGGAAACATTGGCCCTCAGAGTCTTGATACTGTCTTATACACAAATTAAACGTACATCAGAATTTCAATACTTTGGATTGCGATTTGTTTGTGGAAACCCCCCCCCCCCCCCCCCCACATCCACCCCACTACTCAAATGAGGTAACTGACCCTCAAGAATCCATCAGCTATTTCTACGTAACGCACGTACAGGTGATACAGTATGCCGAATAATAAGAGCTGTTTCGTCTGTTTAAGACTCGTCGGTGATGCTAGAGGCTGAAAAGATAAAAATGCAAATACAAATTGGTCTAAACCAATATTGAAACTAAAGGAGAGCGATACCTGAAACCCCTTAATAAGAATCATTTCAAAAATAAAAAGAATATTGTTGAATAAAAACATCGGAAGCCATAAACTGAAATTCCGTCCAAAAGTAAAGACATTTTCCCCCAAAACTGTCGATGTAGTTGCAGATGATGCATGGATAGAATTAAAAATCACAATGGGGTACACCCATAAATGTGTCAATAATAGGGCACTGCGGTCAATCGAGAAATGAAACCTGTTACTATCATATACGTGTGCAAAAATGCTAATGCAAAGTTAGAAAATAGTACGGCCGTTATTTTCTGAGAAAATATCTGAAAAAACAATAAAACATGTGTGCAATAGATAATAATGGTTTTGGGTTGTTTTTAAAGGTTTACATGATCTCATTCGTCTGTTCTTGTTTCCTTAATCCTACCTGATGTATGATCGTCCGGCAACGTGACATTCATTACACGGTGTTTGACCATGCTTTCCCCCCGCCAACGTTGGTATCGGTATCCATGTGACCTTTCATGCAACTGTTGCTCTAATATAAGTATAAAGAACTAGTACAACTGCATACATTTTTTTCTAATCAACCGCTTTTCTTGGACCATCATGATAAAATAAAGATTAATGAATTAATCAACTCGTATCAATGGAAATTTTAGTTTTCCTTTTTTGACCCGATGCTTGTCTTACATTGAGGTTGTATGCCATTGTTGGTTTGTACAGTCATCATGACCTATTTCTGTCAATGTGACTTTGGTGTTTGCGATTATCAAAGCCATATACATAATGCACACAGTCTTATATAGTTGGTTGTCTTCAAGATTCTTCAACTAGGGAAAAAATTCAGTAGCATTTGATATGATATACCCTTTTTAAGCATCCCCAGGTTTCCGTTGTGGTACATGTATATGATATTGATATGGAGTTATTGGCTTAGTCTTTGTTTTTCCTTTTTTTGCATATATTTTTTAATTGCTCTTCAACAGGTACCCGATGTTACTTTCTGCCTTGACCCTGCAGGTAGGGCGTAAGAATTGTACCTGCTGCCCCCAATTGCATGATCGTAAGAGGCGACTAAATTTGGGACCTTATCTCTTCTCTCCTTTCTAAATGACTTTCTACTTCCTAATGTCTCCCTTGACAATGCCTCACTTTTGGCCATTTGTTGAGCGTTCGCCCCTGTGAGGAAGGCTTTGGGTTCTGTCCCCTGGCCGAGACATACCAAAGTCTTTAAAAATGGTAGTTTCTACTCCTGCTTAACGCTCAGCAAATTAGGAGTGGGACGACTGGTTCGCCCGTTGTCAGTATAATGTGACCGGGTGGGGCGTCCTGCTGGGTGTCTTCGGCAGTATGTTTCAGTGAGGTAGCACTATAAAGTCGGCATCAGTTCCGCGCTATCACAAGGAGACAAACACGAACATATCGCAGCCTCCCAAAATACACACACATACACTACACGCATGCATCTTGCACACAGGGGAGGCCGTCCTTAAATGACCTTAGCTGTTAATAGGACGTTAAACAAAATCAAACAAACAAACAAACAAACAAAAAACTTTCTGCCTTATTCATAAGAGGCGACTAGCGTAGGAACTCCCTGCGGATTACGGGGACACGGAAGTAACAAATGTAAATATGCAGCACGTATAAATTGCACCCTTGCGGATCCGTTTTTGTTTCTCTTCTATCTAACTATTTTATCTCTCCCAACCGGTATAGGTTTCTTCACTCCCATCTCATTTGATAAATCTGCTAGGAACTGGTGACCATTTTGGTTATCCACTAGATGGTAACACTTAAGACGTGATTTTATATATCAATCTTCTTATGATGACATCTAATAGCAATGCTTTGGCACGTAATCTTCCACTGAGGCCTCCTAGTTCATTGCTATTGTTTCCAAGAAATTGGCTTTCCAAGAAAAACATGGTTTTCTAGATATGATATCTAACTGTTGTGAGAGAAGAAGTTCCCAAACTCGAGCTGGTTGATAATCATGTTTATATAAGTTTCTTTAGCGAATTTAAAATTGTAAAAGACATTCGGTACCTCGTGTTTTTATACAATCTTACTCAATTTAGGATCAGGATATGACATTTCAGTGACGTTGCTTTTTAAAGTGGCCACATCGTCCGTACACACCGCTTACATATGGACATGACTGTTACTTGGACGCAAAACGCTGTGAACAAACATAAATGCCTTGTACCTTTGCTATGTAATTCATTCTATATTCACAGTTTTAAACATTCAAAGATTGCAAATAAATGGAAGTCAATCGTCAATTTTACAAATACGTTATGATATCTAAGGACCAGCGCACTAACACAATGTCCCTCTCCGTAAATGAATATTTTAGCACATTTGCAGACAGCGTTGTCAAATAGACTTAACGAGATTGATTCGACAGCAAAGTGAACCAGACCCAATTGTTCTGGGCTTGATGACACCTTCAACAAGTACTTGTCTGCGTCTCCATACGTCAGCGATGTCCACGAGCTTCTTCACTCAGAGCCCAGGGCTGCCATGTTTAGGTTTGTTATTGAATTATACCTGTTTTCATCCAAACATTCAGGACCTTTTGGCATGTGTGGAGATTGGTGCCGTGCTATAAGGAGCGATTATTGGATTGGACACAGTAGAATAGAACAAATGACACAGAATTTGAGGAAGACAAACGAATTCAATCTGAAGACACAGGAGATATCAGTGCCATATATTGCGACATGCCTGTGGGATACCAACACTGTAAAAGAGTGTTGAACAAAATACGGTATTTTTAAAGCTTTCATGACAGTGAGAATAAATGATTCCCTGTTTTTGGTATTTAGTTATATATGTATGCTGGCCTGTAAGGGCTCAACAAATCTAGTAATCCTTCAACGCACAAATAGGACGTCGTGGGAACCACACTATGACCTCAAATGAGCGAGAGTAATCCCTCGTTGTCTTCTCTCGCTGTCGTACTTCGTTTTGTCAACATAATACCAACGCCACCAGTTTACGAGATTTGCTTTTTTTGCACTTATCGGCCATGTGTTAAGTGAAAAAGTCCTGCATTAAGTGAAATGTTAAACAT